ATGGAGTTGGTGAAGATCCTAACAATATTCATCTCCATTGATTTTTCATGCAACAACTTTGAAGGGAAGATACCTGAAGTGATAGGAGAATTCAAAGCACTCATTGTCCTTAATTTGTCACATAATTCTCTTACAGGTCCAATCCCTTCATCTCTAGGAAACTTGCAGAATCTCGAGTCCTTGGACCTTTCTAGCAACACCTTGACAGGCAATATTCCTCAGCAACTAGGAGGCCTGAATTTTCTTGAGGTCCTTAACCTCTCACATAATCAACTAGAAGGAAGAATCCCAAAAGGAAATCAACTTCAAACATTTTCAGAAGATTTCTTCAAAGATAACAAGGGATTGTGTAATTGCACCAAACCAGAAGTCCTTCTTCAATCCGCGTCTGCACTCCGGGATGACCTGCAAAGCCCCGAGGTGAAACTCGGGGCAGACACTCCGATGCTTAAGTCAGCAATAATCGGGGCTACCTTTAGAGCGGAGATAGAAAGAGCTTAGGGTTGGTTTCAATTACCTTTTGACGTGGCCCGGGGGGGTATTTATAGGATCCAATGAGGAACCCACGTGGCATGCCAAGCAAGATAATAGGAGCCTGACGTGTCTATCCAGACGATTATTCAGGGATCGGGAATTTGAGAGGTATTTATATACACGGACGTCTACCATATTGTTGTGCGTCTCATCATAAGGAATCAGGTGCGGGCATGCTTCTTGTCATTGCCATGTAGCTATTTGAGCGGGAAGCTTTGGATTTATCCTTCACTTCGGTCATACAAGAATTACTGTAGCAGTCTGAGGCTTGGCACCTCGGACCAATCCTTACACTATTCCCCTCCCTCCCGAAGTCATTCACTTGTGAATGATGTTGTTGGGGATAATGTGGGGAGTGCATAAAAACAAAGAATACAGATAAGTCATGGAAGTAAAAGGGAGAAATAAAATCTGTAACTCAAATGTAGACATAGCCGTAGCTAATAATGAAATATGTAACAGTGGGTCATACTGGGGGTGCCTTAAATAGAATATGACCGGAGCGATCATGGCCGTGGCCGTGGTAAAAATAATGATCGTAGTTAACGTGGCCGTAGCCATAGTAAAAGATGATGACCGGAGTCATGGTGGCCGGAGCCGTAATAAAAAGTGATCATCGGAGTCATAATGTAACCAAGGTCGTGATAAAAAATGATGACTGGAGTCATAGAGGCCGGGGCCGTGATAGGAAATGATGACCGGAGTCATAATGGCCGGAGCCGAGGTAAAGTATGTAACACGTAGTCACAGTAAGTCATTGTGGCCATAACCAAAGTGAAACACTATGCCAGTTTAAAAAGTGTAATTGTAGAAGTAAACAAAAGTGCTGAGCTAGGCTTAAGTATAAAGACGAGAGTCATAATGGCCAGAGCCGTAATAAAATATAACGGTCGAAGTCACAATGGCCGGAGCCATAATAAAATATAATGATCGGAGTCATAATGGCCGAAGCCGAAATAAAATGTGTGATACTGGGTCATTGTGGCCGAAGCCGATGTGAAATGTAATGCATGATTATTGTGGTCGGAGCCGAGGTGAAACACTTGCAAAATTGAGAATGTGCAAAAGTAAACGAAGGTGTTGAAATGGGCGTACGTGGGCTCGTCTGAAAAGTCTGACAATTGTCCTTGGAATGACGTGTGCAATAAATGCAGCAGTAAAAAGATAACTGCAACAGTTAAACGGGCAAATTTTAAAAAACGAACCGTCGAATTCAAAACGGTACCGTTTGGGGTTGGCCGTCGAATTCCAAACAATGTGAATAGGAACCGTAAGATTAAACGAATCTCAGCCGTTGAGATCTAATTTTGCCCAGAAGTATAAATAGGCATTTTTTCTGCAGAAAGAGGTTTACTTGCATTTCTTTTCCTGCAAAACTTCTGCGAGAAGCTTTACTGTGTGTTTCTTGCGCGTGAACTGCCGTAGCATTTGGGGATTTCTACAGTGGGCTTTCGAAACCGAAATCAGGTAATGTATACAAACCTCTGATTTTGAGTTAATCGAAGTGTCTCTCTCCTTTCTCCTTTTCTGTGATTGATTTAGAGTTCTTTGAAGGAAGTTAGGGTTAGAGGTGAGAAAGATTTTGAATGTGCAACAGGGGTTTTTTTTTTTTTTAAAGGGATCCTGACTTATTCCTCCCTCCTACTTCGTGCAAAGCTTGAAAAAATGTCCTCAGAAAGAACAATAAGTATAGTAGGGAGTGAGGTGATGCCCCTAGACTATGGGAGCATGGACTCAGAAAGTAGTCCATCTCCATCTAGTTCGGAGAAGACGGTGGAGGGGGTGAGAGGAGATGAGGTGGTAGAGGTTGGGGGGAATGAGGTGGTAGGGGTTGGGGGGAATGAGGTGGTAAGGGTTGGGGGAGATAGCATACCCATCACTGTAGTAGAAGTAGAGGGTAGAGGAGAGAGAGATTATGATGTGAATGCAGAGATAATGGAGGTGAAGCAGTATAGATCTGAACTAAGGACCAGGGATAGCCTAGGTCACTTAGTGAAAAATTACGAGATCTCTTCCCGAGTGTTAGTTAGGCCAGCCGGGATAGAGGAGAGAGCGTGTTCTGCTCCTCGGGATCATTGGATGCCCATATATTCCCACTATCTGATAGCGGGGTTGAAGTTTCCAATTCCCGAGTTGCTAGTAGGCTTGCTGCTAGATTATAATATAGGATTGACACAATTAGTCCCCAATGCTATGAGGGTAATAATAGGATTTTTAGTCTATTGCCGAGCTCAGGGGATTAATGTGCCAACTGTAAATATGTTTAAGTATTTTTTTGTTTTAAAGGGGGGTAGTAGGAGGGATAAGGGATGGTATTATTTCACCCCAAGGGTAGCAAATAGGGAGAGTAGGGCGTTGTTTACGGTGGGTCCTTCGTCTATTAAAGGATGGAAGGAGAAATTCTTTTTTGTAGATGATATAGAGTGGGAAAGGGGGGATGCTGAGGTGAGGGAATTAGCATCCTGGAAGGCTAAAAGAGCCAACCAGAATAGGTTTAGTTTAAACGAGGATGAAGAGAAAAAAGTGAGGAAGTTGGTGAGGAAGGGGGGGTTTATTGAACATTTTGGATCTCACCAGCGCATAATGCATAGAAGCTGCTGAGCTCTATGGGCCAAGCACTTTAAGTGAAGGTTGGTTTAATTCTGCATTATAGTATTGAATGTAGAGTATAGAGCTGTAATTAATATTGTGTGTTCTTGCTTTGCAGTTGAAATGGATCAGTTTTTGAACACTGCTGGAGGAGTGGCTATCCCCAAGAAGCCAAGGAAGAAGTCAAAGACTTCAACCGAGCAAGTGGATGAGGGGAGGGCTAGGAAAGAGGTAGTGCCCGTGACTTCAGCTAAAGTGGAGGAGGAGGTGCCACAGTTGAAGAGGAAGGGTTGGGAGGAGAGGAGGGCATTGCATAAGAAGAAGAAGGTGGTGGAGGAGGAGGAGAGGGGGGATGAGGTTCCTCAGTTCGTACCTTAGCCTCCTCCTGTTGAGCTGAACCTTGAGCTCAGACAATTGGAGGAGGGAGTTGAAGTACAAGCTCCCGGTAAGGGAAAGGGCCTTGTTCCCACGGTGGTGTCTCAGAGCAGCCTGTTCGAGGCGAAGAACATGACGGGGGCTAGGTGGTTCATCAACACCACCTTCCCCGAAGTGGACAAACGCAACGTGCGGGATGAGGCTCTGAGGTACTGTGGGGCTTCAATGGTGAAGCACGTTTTAGAGGTAAGTTAAATTATTCATATTTATTGGTGTTGTTTGTTTAATCTCTTTCTTCTTCTCCTTCTTTTTCTCTTAACTTCGGCCTTCGTTTGCAGAGCGTGAGCTGGGTGAATGGTCTAGCCTAGGAGTTCATGAATAGCGTGAAGGAGCGCTCGCTCTTGCAGAGGCAGTGTGACCAGCTGCAGAAGGAGAAGGAGGAGTTGGAGAAGAAGAATAAAGAACTGCAAGAGTCGCTGAACAAGGTGGTTCCGACTGTGAAACAGTTGGAACAGGAGAGGTCTTCCCTGAGCACCAAGCTCGTCTTTGAGGAGAGTAAACGAAGGATCTCTGAAAGCGAGCGTGAGGCTCAGGCGTAAGAAATAAAGCTGATGAAGGAAGCTTTCGTGGAGCTAAAGGAGAATGTGCAGACCTTGGTGCACAATGGGATGAAGGAGCACATCAGCAACTTCATCAGCTCCAGCTCGTTTGACAACATCGTCAACTTGTATCGGCTGCCCACTGCCATCATTGCATTTACGGACTGCAGGAAGAAGGTGAAGGCAGAATATCCCGAAGTGGATATTACAAAGATCACCTTAGGCGAGCAAGAAGAAGGAGTGGAGGAAGACGGTGAGAGCATGTCAGCAGACTTCCGTCCTCAGATCAAACTGAGGTGGGAGCATGATGCAAACGGACGTGCTGTTTTCCCTCCGCAGTTCGACTTCGAGTTCGTTGCAGTGGAGGAAGAAGGGGCAGAGGTAGAGGAAGACGAAGTGGAGGCAGGAGTGGAAGGAACTGAAATGGATGAGAGCCAACCAGTTCCAGAAGTGGAAATACATCTAGTTCCTTCTGACGATGAGCAGCCTCCTCTGCCAGACGAGCAGCAGCCAACACAGCCACCTCTTTCAGCTGAGCAAGAGCCAGTGGAACCACCTCCCCCATCAGAGAAATAATTTTGTTTTTGTGTAAAAACATTTAAGTATTTTGAATGCAAATTCATGCTTGTTGTTATGTGTGTTTGTTTGTGTTTACTTTATATTTTTGTTATTATTATTTTTTATTAATAGAAGAACTAAAATTATTTGAGACGTGTTTTGAGAGAAAGTTAACCACTTCAGAGATGAAATAAAAAAAAAGTTAATCACTTCGGAAATGAACTAAAGAGAAGGAAATCATTTCAGACGAATTAAGAAGAAGTAAAACACTTTAGAGAAACTAAGAACAAGTACATCACTACAAATGAATTAAAAGGAAATAAAACACTTCATATGTGAAGTGACATTTATTGATCAGAAGTGAGGTTCAAGGAATGAATTGACTGATTGACCTCGGATACATAGAATAAGAGGTAAAATGAATCTCAACAATCATGAAGTAAGAACTGTAAGACATAGATCTCTTAAAAGAATTTTATTAGGGGTAAAATTTCTTCAAGTTATTGACATTCCAGACTCTAGGAACTCTCTTTCCTTCAACGTCTTGGAGGATATAGGCACCAGGATGTAGCACATCGGCCACAGTATAAGGGCCTTCCCAATTCGGGGCGAGTTTGCCAAAATGAGTTTCAAACCCTGTTAGGCCAGCTTTTCTGAGAACAAGGTCTCCTACTTTGAATGTTCGAGGGCGAACTCGTTTATTATAGAAGTTGACTAGTTTCTGCTTGTATACAAGAGTCCGAAGCCGAGCTTCTTCTCTAACTTTAGCAAGCAGATCAAGGTTTTCCCGAAGCAGTTGTCCATTTCGTCCTTCATCGAAATGGGTGACCCGGAAGCTTGGGACTCCTATTTTAACAGGAATGACTGCTTCGGTACCAAAGGCCAAGTGGTAGGGTGTTTCACCTATTTCAGTTAATTATAACTTTAGAATGCGCTTTATGCATTATGCATATTTGCTCTAAGGTAAAGCGTAACAGAAGAAGTAAAATAATATAGGAATTAATCAAATAGACTTGGTTTAAAGTAATACCTATGGCAGTTTGGCTCGTGGTTCTGTATGCCCAGAGGACGTTGTTGAGCTCATCTGCCCATTTGGCCTTATGCTGTTCCAATCTCGGCTTTATACCTTCTAAAATGCATTTGTTAATAGATTCAACCATGCCATTGGACTTCGGATGGTAAACGGAGGTGAATTGTAACTTGATCCCATAACTGGAACAGAAATCTCGGAATGAGGAGCAATTGAACTGAGTTCCATTATCAGCCACAATTTGATTCGGGATCCCATATCTGCAGATGATCGAGCTGAAAACAAAGTCTTCGAGCTTCTTGGAGGTAAGACTAGATAAAGGCTGAGCTTCAACCCACTTTGTGAAATAATCCACACCAACAACCAGATGGGTTACACCACCAACCCCTTTCACGAATGGGCTTAAAAGATCCACTCCCCACTGAGCAAATGGCCACGGTGCTACCAAGTTCGTGAGCTCTTCTGCTGGTTGGTGAGTCAGATGTGCAAAGAATTGACATTTCGGGCATTTCTGAACAAAGTAAGTGGCATCTTTGTGCATGTTTGGCTAGTAATATCCTTGCCTTAAGACTTTGTGAGCCAGAGTCCTAACACCAACATGGCTCCCGTAGACACCTTCATGCACCTCTCGAAGTGCGTATTCAGCTTCGTAGGGGTTTAAACACCGTAGAAGAGGAAGTGAGAAAGATCTCTTATACAGGACCCCATCAATGAGTGCATACCGAGATGCTTTCTTCCTCAACTTCATTGCCTCCTGCCTGTCCTCAGGTACTATCCCATCTCGCAAAAAGGAGATGATTGAATCAGTCTAGCTCGACGTGTCAAGGTTTGTGCTAATCTCCATCATCCGAGGCTTCATGAAGCTTGGTTCATCTAAGACCTCTACAAAAACGAATCTGGAACTTAAAGAGCTATCAGAGGCAAGCTTGGAGAGTGAATCTGCGTGTTCATTCTCAGCTCGGGGAATTTTGCTCAGACAGAATTTCTGGAATTTGCATTTCAGCTCGGCCACCAAGGCTACATATTTCACCATCACAGGATCAACGACTTCGCAGATTGAGTTGGTTTGGTTCACTACCAACTGAGAGTCACTGTATACTTGAATTGCACTGATTTTCAACTCCAATGCTAGCTGTAGGCCAAGTAGCAGAGCTTCATATTCAACCATGTTATTTATTGCATCAAAGTTGAATTTCAAAGCCTGCTCGCTTCGATAACCCTCTGGACCAATCAAGAGAGCGCCAGCTCCTGACCCGTTGCTACTAGATGCCCCGTCAACATATAAGGTCCAGTCGTTGGGCTCTGGATTAGGGGTTGAAGGACATGGGGTACATTCGACAATAAAATCTGCTAGCGCTTGAGCTCAGATTGCCGATTTCTGCTGAAATGTTATCTCAAACTCTCCCAACTCTACTGCCCATTTAATTAATCTTCTAGAGCACTCTGGTTTCTACAGGATCTATCGGAGAGGTTGATCTGTGAGGACAATAATTGGGTGTGACTGGAAATATGGCCTCAACTTCCTGGCTAAAGTGACAAATGCTAATGCTGCTTTCTCAGCTATAGGATACCTCAGCTCTGCTCCGTGCAGTACACTGCTGATATAATAGATTGGTTTCTGCTGTTTGGTTTCTTCTCGCACTAAAACCGAACTAATGGCTTTATCTGAAATTCCTAGATACAAATAAAGAATCTCCCCATCTATAGCCTTAGTCAGTAGAGGTGGCGAGCTAAGATAAGACTTTAGCTCGTCGAATGCAGTTTGGCATTCCTAACTCCATTCAAATTTCTTCTGTTTTCCTAATTCATCCTTCTGGGCAGCTGACCTTATAATCTTGAAGAATGGCAGGCACTTATCTGCTGATTTCGATATGAACCGATGAAGAGCTGCCACCCTTCCAGTCAACCTCTATATATCTTTTACTGATTTCAGCGGTTCCATCTTGGCAATTGGTCTGATCTTCTCTGGATTGACCTCGATCCCTCTTCGGGACACCATGAAACCTAGAAACTTTCCAGATTCCACTCCGAAGATGCATTTGGTTGGGTTTAACCGCATCCTGTTCTTTCTAAGGTTGTTGAAGGTTTCGTTGAGGTCAGCTAGATGGTTTTATGTTTTCAGGCTCTTTACCACAATGTCATCGACATACACCTCCAGATTCCTGCCAATCTGAGCTCGGAAGACAATGGTTACCATTTTCTGATAAGTAGCACCGGCGTTCTTTAAGCCAAATGGCATCATGACATAGCAATAGATTTCATCGCCAGCATAGAACGAGGTTTTCTCTTCGTCTTCGGGAGCCATCGGCAACTGGTGATACCCAGAATATGCATCCAAGAGGTTTAACCTCTCATTGCCTGAAGCCACTTCAACTAATTTGTCAATGCTCGGCATTGGATAGTAATCCTTGGGGCAGGCTTGGTTAAGATTTGTGTAATCAATGCACATTCGCCATTTACCGTTTGCCTTCTTCACCAGGACTGGGTTAGCCACCCATTCGCAATAATCAACTTTCCTGACGAAACCAGCTTGTAGAAGTTTCTCTACCTCTTCTTTAATAGCCTGAAGCCGCTCCCCCCCGAAGAGACGTCGCTTCTGGGCCACTGGTTTCTTCAATGGATTGGTGCTGAGTTTGTGTTGAGATACTGAATTTGGAATTCCCGGTATATCTGCCGAAGTCCATGCGAATACATCATTGTTAGCTCAGAGAAAAGCTATTAGCTCTGCTCTTTCCTCCAAGTTCAATCTAGTTCCGATCTGCGTCTTTCGACTCGGATCTCTGTCATCAATGAGCACTTCTTCAACATCTTCGACCGGAGCAGCTCTGGTTTCATCTTCCGGTCGATTATCTACGATCTCTACACCCATAACTTGCTGATTATCAGGAACTCGTTGGGGAATGGCCTCGGGTGTCTGATCTTTACCCTTCGTTGGTTGTGTTACCGAGGTGATATATCATATAACAATGTCTGGCCACCTCCTGGTTTCCTCGCAGTGTTGCTATTCCCATGGGAGTTGGGAACTTCATGCAGAGATGAGATTGGGAAACCACAACTCGGATTTCAGTCAATGTGGGTCGGCCAATAACAATGTTGAAAGAGGACACCATCTTGACGACAAGTAACCGGACTGAAGGGGTTACATAGGTCCGGCCACTCCCAAAAGCCACATGGAGGGTAAGAACTCCTTCTACTGAAACAGGTCGGTTGTTAAAACCATAGATGGGACCATCATATTTTTGCAACAATGCCGGATCCAACCCAAGACTCTCGAAACAATGGAAGTACATGATGTCTGGTGCACTCCCGGTGTCAACAAGGACACGCTGTACTTCACAGTTGTTAATCATGACAGAAGTGACCAAGGGATCATTATGGGGTGTAACAACTATATCAAGACCAGCAGATGTGAAAGTAATGGGTTGATTCTTCCACTCAGCATCGTTAAACTTTCGTTTTTTAGCTCGGTTCTGATGCTTAACCTCTCTGACATACAGCTTTCGCTGTTTAGAGCTCAGTCCACCTGCTACCAGACCTCCATAATCATGTGTATGATTCTAGCTAGTGGTGGGAGCGGAGGTGGGTTTTGCTGATATCCCACACCTTGCCTGTTTGGTGGGTTACAAGTTCCTTGAGGCCGTGGCCCTTGTTCTCTGACAAACATACTCATTCAACATTCCCTTCTGAGCTAGATTTTCCAGTTCGGACTTTAAGCTGTTACACTGATCTGTAGTATGGCCGTGATCCTGGTGAAAATCACAATACCTGGTATGGTCTCAGCTAGCAGCAGCAGTTTTCATTGGGCCAGGACGCCTTAAATCCATTTTATTCTTGATCTGCATAAAAATTTGTGACCTTGGCAAATTTAAGGGAGTCCAATTAACTGGCGGTTTACCTGCAGATTGTTGCAGGGGTGTTGAGTTCGACCTTCCGAATCTCGGTGTGGAGGTCGGTATCGGACCTCGGTTCTGCGCCATCTTCATCCTTTTCCGGCTCAAATTGTCATCTCTCCATTCTGGGTTCTGGTTCTTAGAAGGAGTCGGATTCTGCGCTAGGGCATACTCCTCAGCGGTTATAAATTTCAGAGACCTATCGTTCACCTCGCTAAAGGTGATGGCAGCATGTTTGATCAAACTGTCTCTAAACCTATCATGTTTAAGACCGGAGATCACAGCTGTAATCCCCACAGCTTGATCAAAGGAATTAACCTCCAATACTACATCATTGAACCTGCTCATATAGTTTTTAAGAGATTCTCCATCCCTCTGTTTAACTCACATCAGCTCAGAAGTAGTTTTCCTAATCAACCTTATACTGGAAAACTTAGTGGCAAAGGCAGATGGCATTTCTATATAAGAGCTAATTGACCTCGGAGGTAAACTGTAATACCAAGTTCGAGCATTACCTCGAAGAGTAGAGGGGAAGATTTTGCACATCAATGCGTCAGAGGCATTCTAAGCTTGCATGCAAGAGTAGAAAGCATGCAGATGATCATCAGGATCCTTTGTCCCGTCGTAAGTCTCCAGTTGTGGTATTTTAAAGCCAGCAGGATAGGGTTCCAGTGTAATGTTGGTGTTCAGGGGGTGAGGTATGAAGTCAGCAGCATGGTGTGGGGGTGGAGCACCTCGGTGTTCAGCTGCTAGCTTTTCTAAGCTATCAAGGCGTCGAGTGACATCATAAGGGAGGGGTTGTTGAGTGGGTGCTATGTGGGATTGACCCTGAGATTCACTAATAGCGGGAGCATGCTGAACCGGTTGAGGATTCTGTTGTGGAGCTGGGGGTTGTTGAGCAAGGTTCAGTAAATTAATGAGGGGATCACCATGATTATTTCTAGCTAAAAGCTGAGCCAGTACCAACTGAAAAACATCGAACTGTTGTTGCATGGCAGCAAGCTGAGCTGCCACTACGTCTTGGTTGACAGTGGAAGTTGAATTGTGAGCTGAGGTATGAGGTTGGTTTTCATCTCCTCTTTCTGCATGATCAACAGGAGGGAACATAGTTGGGACCTGAGGTGGAAGCTGAGGTGTAACTTGAGGTGGGATCAGAGGTGGAAGGTTGGTGGGGGGTTGACCTTACCCAAGAGGCAGAGATGAATTACCAGCTCGGACTAATCGAGTGTGAACCATGATGAAAGAGCAACTAGAAAGCTTTCAGTTCGGATTCCCACAGACGGCGCCAATGTAATTGCACCAAACCAGAAGTCCTTCTTCAATCCGCGTCTGCACTCCAGGATGACCTGCAAAGCCCTGAGGTGAAACTCGGGGACCGATGCTTAAGTCAGCAATAATCGGGGCTACCTTTAGAGCGGAGATAAAAAGAGCTTAGGGTTGGTTTCAATTACCTTTTGACGTGGCCCGGGGGGGTATTTATAGGATCCAATGAGGAACTCACGTGGCATGCCAAGCAAGATAATAGGAGCCTGACGTGTCTATCCAGACGATTATTCCAGGACCGGGAATTTGAGAGGTATTTATATACACGGACGTCTACCATACTGCTGTGCGTCTCATCATAAGGAATCAGGTGCGGGCATGCTTATTGTCATTGCCATGCATCTATTTGAGCGGGAAGCTTTGGATTTATCCTTCACTTCGGTCATACAAGAATTACTGTAGTAGTCCGAGGCTTGGCACCTCGGACCAGTCCTTACAAATTGTGCGGGGCTCCTTTGATGGATTGCGGAGCTAATATGCAGCCACCTTCTACTATATCGACATCTGAAGGCAACAATTCAGATAATGGATCGAAAATTGACTGGAATCTCATAATTGTTGAAGTGGGATTTGTTTTTGGCTTAGCCATTATCATTTTACCACTTATGTTTTGGAAAAGATGGAGGATATGGTATTACAAACGTGTTGACAGTGTTCTTTTCAGGCTTCTGCCCCAGCTAAATTAAAGAACCAGAAACCATAGGCGGAGAGTTCTCAGGATCAACAGAAGGAGGAACTAGGAGAGCACTGGTGAGAAGGGAGTATTGCGTCTTGATATAGTTGTTCTAGAAATAAGAGAATGTTCTTGTTTAATAATCAGTAATCCTTTCAAACAACCTATATGGTATGATAATGAGAGGTGAGTTAAATTTCTATGCATGCAATTTCTTCTCTTTCCAATGCTAAAGTTTACTAGTGTCCTTTATACAAATAGAAGTTATAAAATGAATGTTCAATGGTCAATAATATCTTGATACTGGCAAAAGGTCTTTAATTAATATTACTGTTATGGCCCAACTTGTGGTGATCCCTTATCTCTTGCCCTACTTCTTCACTGCCCACAAACGATCCAAAGAAACATCTACTGTCTTAGAGAACTTCTTTGTACCCTATTGAACTTTAGCATATGAGGTTTTCAGGCCTATGTAGCAATTTGGTAGGGCATCTGAGGGCCCAACCCAAGTTTGCTGTACATGTCGAGAATAATTTTTTTTTTTTGACAAGAGCAATGGTTAGTAGATTAAGTTAATTAATTGTTAGAAACTGGGGATTCGATTCCCAAATGAGGGTAAGCGCCACCCCCTCCTCATTGAGGAGCGCGACCCAACCAGTGGACCACATGGTGGAGTTCGTGTTGAGAATAATTTGAACACACTAATTTTAGAAAAGAGCAGTGCTAAGGGCACTCAGCTCCTGCACTCTCCGGCCAACACTCCTCCTTTCATTGGGCCACGTTATTTTAGTTCAGCAAGAGGTTGAACTTCAGAACTTAAACAACCTTACATGGCTCAATAAAAGACGGAGTGTTGGCCAAAGAGTGCAGGAGGCGAGTGCCCCTAGCACTGCTCTTTAGAAAATCCTTGACTCTAATAAGGCACTTTTTCCTTTTACAACTACTGCATTTTCCCCTTTTACAGATTTCCCACATGGCTAGTTGGTTTAACCGATCATGAGATACCAAGCTGTGCAGAAGGTTAAGCACCACAGCATGAACCTCTCATGTTTCACAAAGTCTGAACGTTGTTCACTGTCCAAGTAGGACCTGTCAATTAATAAACTTTTTCCTTCCTTCAGGGCACTGTTACTTCGTTCCTGGCTTGCCATTGTTAATGTTATCCTCCAAGAAAGGAAAATTTAAATCCAACACTGAAAAATACACAGCAAAGACTTTAGGAAATTATGCAGAGAGTTAGGGTAGTGGATCAAATTTTTTGGGCCTATGGATGATCCGGGTCCATTTTGGACTTTCAGGACAGCTCCACCTTTTTATTACCATATCGTCGCTGTCGGCCAGGGCCAATCAAATTAACCACAAAATGAAGATTTCTCTCCGCCAACTGCAATTGCTAATCTCGGTAACTTTCCGGTCTTTCAGCCGAAACCTTTCCTTCGTAACTGCTCGATGCTGCTCGTGTCGCCAGATTCGGTGACGATTGCTCTTCTTTGGTCGGTATAGCTCGCGGAAACGGCAGGACATGCTGGCCTTGACCTAGGCAATGTCAATTAATCCACCTAAGGTGGAACGGAAATCCACAACTCAAGCAATTTCTTTGATCCTTCATCTTCAGAACCTAAAATTTACTGTAAGTAGCCTGCAACAATTTCAAGAATTTTTTTGTTCCATCAAAACATACCTTAATAAGGAGTTGTTTGGTGGAGTTTATTGGACCTTTTATTTTTCTCAATACTATTTATGAGTTATAAATTTAAATTTTTAATAGAGGAAAAATTTAAAAATTACTTTTAAAAATAATAAAAAGTAAAAATTTAAAACTTATTAAAATTCACTATTTAAAATCTTTTTAACGTTAAAAAAAAGTTAAAAAATATAAATTTTTTTTAAAAATAACTTAACTTATAAAATATAAATAATATTAAAAAACTGAAGCAATTACAAACTTCACTAAACATGCTCTAATATTCAAATAGAAGCTTTACACAACACAAAAAACAAAAGCAACTAGAACCAAAACACTAAAACAGAGGAACAGAAACAAACAACTAACTCCAAAGTAAAATAAAGCCCTGCAATCTGTCACGCAAGGAAGGTGAACTCCATGTACTTGTTTGCGGCTCATCCTTGCCAGAAATAGCTTTTCAAAAGCTTTGACCATGTTCCTCTCACCAAGAAAGAGATGAGTAAAGGCATAAGGTGGATCCAAGGTCTCACAGTTGCAAAGAATGGTAAAAACAACCGGCAACCTCCCTGAACCAGCTACCTCATACCAGGGAACCATTGCAACACCAAACCTGTGGCAAGTAGCCTGCACATATAGGCTTGGCTTACAACCAAGATTCTCTGCCATTGGAAGTGCTGTGGTAACCCATGAAGACCAGGGGCAGTATTGCCAATTCAAGAGGGATCCATCTAGCCAACCATCTCCATCATCCAAACCAACAGAACCAAATACCCATCTAATATTTTTGTAATTTTTTGTAATATCAACTAAAAAAGAACATAAATATATAAGGGATAAATGAGATCTGAGAGTGGATGAGAAAGTCAAAGTAGACCTCAAACCTTGGTTTGGCTTACCTTTCTTTGAGGCATCATGGCTCTCCTGTGGTTGAAGGGCAACCACAACCCTTAGTTGTTGATCCATGCTTCTCCCTAGGAACACCAACCACCCTTAAGCATACATGGGCATTTGCTAAGCTACCCTTATCAACTATCCCAACTGCAAACAAATCTTTTTCCCCCTACCCCTTGCAATTAGCTGAGAGTTTAAATCAGAAAGGGATTCCTTCACCTCCTTGAAACCACTTCTTTCAATGTTAACAGTCAGCACAAGAGAAACACCCTTTTCCATTAAAGACTTTATATCATTAAACACCATTCCATCTTCAAACAAAACAGACCATAGTAAAATCAACTCCAGCAGCAGCAATTAGTTTGTTTCCCTAACAAGATCCAACAACAGATCTCGATTCACAACATTGATTTCACCATGCAGATCACTACTATTTTTCAGCAGGTTAGTCTCAAAAGCTTTTAAATCATCATCAGATACAAGAGACCACAGCAGATTAAGCCTAGGCACTACAGTCCTAATCGTCATCATATAAGTCCCAGCAATAAATAGTAGGCCCTTAAACCAGGTCTAAGCCTCAATCCAACATTCAACTTGAGAAAAGTAATCTCGAGACATGATGCACTAAGAAATACAACTTTACTTGGGCATATGAAAACTCCTATAAACATAATAGCTTCATAAATGGATAAGAGACGCAATAAAAGCGTAGAGCCCATTTCAGGGAGAGAGAGTACCATTGCATCCTCGCAATTGATTGGATTGAAATTGTGAATCACATGCCCTTTCAAGAGCCCAGGAAGCAAGCTCACACCAAATTCATTCCAAAACTCATCAGCTTTCCAAACAAGAGGTTTCCAAAAGATTGCAACGGGTTTCTCCTTCACACTGGTAACCATGCTTTGTACCAATACATCAGCTAAATCCTTCCATTCCAAAACCGCAAGCCACCCATGATTTGTCATCTCAAAATAGACTGATTGGAAACAAGATCGGAAAGAAATTTCAAACAAGAAAATATTAGGGTTTTTGATTTGGGAAAAGAGAAGAAAATACTAGAGAGAAAACTATGACATAGGGATATTGAATGGGAAAACTAGAGAATTTTTTTGATATTTAGTGAATGGAAGGAGGAAACACCACAAGAGAAAGAAAATGATAGAGAAAGGAGGAGGAAAGAAGGGGAAAACGACGATGAAAGCTGAAAGCTCAGCGGTGGCAAGAACGGCGGTAAGCGACTCTCATGGGAGCGCCAGGTCTTTTTTTTTTGTTCATATTTCAATTTTGGAGAATTACTTATTTCCTTTCTTTTTTCTTTGACTATTTTGATTGTATTTGTTTGAGTGTCCAGTATCATTTGAATCCATTAGTTTTCGATATAAATTCACTGGCTTAAAATTGTTCCATTAGTTTTCGATATAAATTCACTTGCTTAAAATTGTTCTTCATCAACAATTAATTTTAAATTGGATTATTTGATGCCCCTCTGATTAGTAGGTTTTGAATAAAATTTTTAGAATTATTGTAGTAAAATTGGTTAGCTCTCAAGTTCAGATGTTTCTTAATATAATATTATAATGTAAAGTAGGAATTTATTTAAATAGTTTGAATTTATTCAAATTGTATTCTATTTATTAAAAATAATTATTTTTTACCTACATAATTATAATAAATTTTAACCTTAATGTGAAGAGATAGATTGTATAAGTGTAATATATATAATAAAGATTTATTTATATATAAATTTTATACATTATATTTATATAAAATTTTAATAATTTATTTCTTTATTTTTAATAATTAAGATTTATTTATATTTATTAAAGTAATTATATTTTTTATTGAAAATTTTTTGTTAAATCTAGAAAATGAATTCATTTATATAGAACTCTTATATATTATATTTATATAAAATTTTAATCATTCTTTTTTTTTTCACTTTCAATAGTTTCATTTTTTTTTTCACTTTCAATAGTTTAGATATAGTATGACTTTTTAGATTAAAAAATGTGAATAAATTGATAAGAAGCATTTTATATGCTTTATTTTATTATTTTAACCTTAATTTTATTACTATTTACATGGACAATTTGTGATTTTCAATAAACTTTATATAGTTTTTAATGCATAGTAATAGGAGTTTTTGAGATTAATTGAATATCTTTTGAAAATTAAGGGATTGAATTGCAAAAAAAAAAAAAGGTTTTCTTTGGGACCTAAATGAATGAACTTAAGTTATGAGATCAAATTGCACATCGTATAAAAGATGGAGGATCTCATCTTTTTACCATTGAAGAAATTGCAAAAGGGTCAGTGTCCTGACATGGTTATGGTATCGATACATGCTTCGTGGTATCATCACCATACGGTAAGCATTTGATAAAACAAAATCGCGTGAAATAAACAGAAGTACTAACACCTAAACACTCCTGTCAACACTAAAATCACGTTTAGCATCAGTAATTTTCCTTTTTTTTTTCCTTGAGTCCTACTTTTTTTTCCAATAGAATTTGTTGAACTCTATAAATATTTATTCAAAAACCAGATTTAAGGCTTGTGGGGAGACCTTGAGAGAAATGACTACGAGAAACTCAATATCAAAAATAGATCAAAGTTTGAGATTTTATATCTTTAAATTGATTTTATTTGTCTTTGAATTTTATTTTATGATATCAAATGCTCTTATATTTATTTTGAGATTTTTTTATTTTCTTTTCTTTAATTGTGAACTATTTTAGTCATTTAACACTACAATGTAACTTGGTCAAATTGATATAGAATTTTATGATTTTTATATTTTTAATGTTTATTATTTCATGTAATACATATATTATTATTCTTAATGCTTTTTAGTGATTGACCACTATTAAAACTGATATGGAGAGTATAATTGAAATCGAAAGGAGATTTATGCAATAGGTTCTAATAATATATACCATAAATTGAACTAAAGTTAGAAATGAATCAATGTGATTTGTGCAACATTAGTAATAAGTGGATATGATTTTCTATATAAATTAGGGAATTCCACATAATATAATACATTTTTATCTATTTAAATTTACATTGAGATATAATGAATTAATATGTAAAGATATGTTTCATATAACTTGAGAAAGTATATTGAATAAAATAAAAAATCCCACTATTACATGAATAATAAATACCTTAGAAGTATATAAATTTAAATTCTATACTAGTTGATAATAGTGAAATCGAATGTTTTAGAATTTTAACTCTAGATGTTACTTAAAGTCAATTTAGTTTTCTTTAATTAACTTAGTTAATTAGTTCATTTAAATCATTTGATTATAATTGTTCAAATAAAATTAGAATTAATTAATTTTGGTAACTAATTAGTTTTACTGTATCTATAGAATAGTACTTGATTTTTATAATTCTATTACTTAAACTAATTAGTACTCTTATTAGAGTGAAATTAACTTAACATAAATCTTAATCATTGAAAGTGAATAAATAAATAGTTAAGATTTTATGTAAATATATATATAATTTTTGTGTAAATGAATCCCTCCTTAATATATATATATATATATATATATATACAAAATTAAATTATTCCATGACTACAAGTACTGAGCATGTTTTTGTACTTCAAATCTTAGTGAGTTTGATGATAAGCTCGATGTTGATATAGAAGTTTGTTCAGAAGGGAAAGCATACTCGTTTGCTTAGGGCTCTTAGGACACACGCGAAGTGGAACTAGCTAATAGACAAATGGTGAAAAAGGAGCATTACATCCTCCCACTTGTTCCACAAATAAGAGATGCTAATATCCTTTGCACCAAAAAAAAATTAAGGACTCCTAATATGTACATTTTAACGAGCACTATTAATGCACTGTAATGGCTCCAGCCGAACCCTTTGAACCGAAAACAAAGACTGGAATGATGGTACTCCTGATATGGACATTTAACGAAACAATCTGTCTTTCTTTGTTTCTTTTTGGGGGTAAAATCTCAACTCTCAAGTCACCGTTGATCCATCAAGTCTTGCAAGTTGCAACAACTGGTTTCTATTATCCATAACAACACGTCAAAGAAGTGCTTTCATACCATCCGGTTCATATCTCATCTTCACTGCTTTCATACCATTCGGTTCATGCCTCAGATGCTCTTTGGAAAATTTTTGTCCAATAATGGGCTTTAGTCTTTCAAGACTCTTTTGCAAGTAGTAGTGCCGTATCGAATGCAACTAGTCTGGTGCCCTCAGTCCTGCTATAAGTCAAATCTGCTTGTGAAATGGAACATATATGGAAGACTATCGTACCATATATACCAATTTCGAAGAGGACAAAGACTGCTACAGAGTATATATTGACACCAACTTGTCATTCCAGTGGAAAGCTCTTTTCACCATGAGAACTGCTAGTAATGGGAATGAGTACTGTTATATATTTCCTTTTTATTGGAACAAGCTTTGTAACTGGAAAACGATGATTTATATTCATAATGCTGAACCAAATATATACAAGTGTTTGTAGTTCCACAAAGAAACTAAAGATATATACAATAATGAAGTATATATGATTTAAATCTGTAACTGATATGCTGCTATAATTTGTAACTGATATGCTGTTATAATACAAAATATATAATTGCCAAGATAAGTCTTGTTGCCTTAATTCACGAGCGGGGATTGTGTGGCCATAATTCACGAGCGGGGATTGCTGGAATTGATGACAGGGTTTGTTTCCGTCATACTTTTGACTTGTAACTCTAATTTTTGAGTGATTACCGGAAATATGCAGTAGCCAATTATTTTGTATGTTTGTATTGTAAAATTTATTAAATTTATTTCATGCTTTAAGTTAACAAGTATTTTCTAATCTCTACTCCCCTTGCGTTCTTCTCTTTACCATTAGTCAAAGACCTAAAGAAGACTTCCATGTTCCCCCCGACATGGTTTTAAGAATTACTCCGTACACCAATATTTTATCGACAAATTGTTTACTTCATCAAATTTATAATTTAAATAACCTTTTAGTACTTTCATATGGGCAATGCATAAATTTTTTCTTCAACCAAAAACAATAAAAATAATAATACTAAAATTGCAACTATATGTGTCAATACCTCGACCACATAAATCTACCTCAATTATTTTATATCAAATAGAAAGACACTAACTACCTGTGCGTGACGCGCGGGCATCCTAACTGGTTGCCTTGAGGTGCTCTGAAAATTTCCCAGCAACAACTAGGAACGGTCAAAAAGTAGTATACCGGAGAAGACCAACGTTAAACTTTCAATTCCATGGTAGCTTCACTTTCACTCCTATTATTTAACACACGCCTGCGCCTCTTGAATCTCATCCATCAAAAAATGGAAATTCTTCTCCGGGGATTCCTGATCCTCATGGCTTTCTCTTTGTGCTTACACTTAAACGTAGGCTCTGTGAGGAGTCTATGTCTTGCGGATCAGCATTTGTCACTGTTAAAACTTAAGGAAACACTCATTTTCCACCGGACTTTTTCACCCAAGCTCAATTCCTGGGATTCATCAACCCAATGCTGTTCTTGGCCCGGCGTCACCTGCAACGGCAGTGGCCATGTTATTGGTCTCGACCTCAGCGATGAGGGGATTTCCGGTGGGATCGATAGCTCGAGCAGTCTCTTCAATCTTCATCATCTTCAGAGCCTTAACTTGGCTCGGAACAGTTTCAATGGCACTCGGATTCCATCTGGGTTGGGCAAACTTGCTAATTTGCGCCACCTCAACCTCTCCAATTCCGAATTTTCCGGACAAATTCCGGTTGAGATTT